TTTTTTAATATAATTTGTTTTTAAATTTAAATATTAAAATTTAATAAAGTGAATTTTCAATTTTTCAATAAAAATTGGGACTTCAATGTTTTTAAAAATCAAATTGATACATACTGATCTTTTAATTTAATTTTATTTTAATTTAAAAACATTTTTTAAAATGATCTAGATATTATCATTTTTATACTATTTTAATATATCCATCCAGTCTTTTTGTTAACATAAATGCCATGTCGAACATGAAAAAAAAAAAAATTAAACGCCATGTCATAAGACACGTAAAACCAAACTGACATCACATGGCAAAAAATAAAAGAAAAAAATTATCCTCTTAACTTTTAAACTTTGAAAAATGTTTTAATAAGTCCTCAAATTAGGTAGAGGAAAACTAAGTAAATTAAAATAACAAATTTACCCTTGTATACATAATTATACATATATACCAACATGTCACAATGGCAAAAAAAAGAAAAAAAAAGAAAAGGAAAATTAACATTGATAATAAAAGTTTGTTGACATTTAGCCTCATCTTTATATTCTTTTATTTCTTTTTCTTTTTTTTTTAATTTTTGATAATCAAAATCAAACAATATAAATAAAATTAAAAAATGTATGCATAAAATATGATATATACATCTTATATAAATAAAAAAATCAATAAAAATTAACCATGTTATGCATGTTGTAAGATTTTATTGTAAAAAAAAGTGTGGTGTAGTAATTAAGAAAATCTGTATCTTCGATTCCTTACTAAATAAAATCTTTATTTTCTAATACCTATTTTTCTTTGGCAATCAAGCAAAACAACCCTTTTACTTGTCAATTAGTGGCAAATTAGCACCTAAACCGATTTTAGCACCTAAACCGATTTTAGCACCATACAACCCCTTGAAGTCTTAGACAATGGTAAATGAGCCCTTTTTTCACTGATGACATCATTATTCTGTAAAACACTAACGATACTTGTGTTTCACTCTACTCTCTGTTAAGCTGGAAACAGCATGGCGCCTATATCATTAGACGAATTAAAAATTTTTATTTTTAATGAAACAATAAAATTAAAAGAAAAGAAAAGAAAAATACAGTTTCTCGTTTTTCGCTTTGTTTTGGGTTCTTCTATTTGTGACGAGCACTATGCTTTTTACATACTGTTGTTTCTCAAATATTTTTCTCCATCTCTACGTTGTACGTTGTGTTATTGTTGTATCTCAATTATAAAATTAAATAAAATAATAATAAGTAAATTTATAAAAAAATATATCAATAAAAAATTATTATCAAAATGAACATAAAAGTTTATTTATTTTAAGACGATTCACGTCTATACGAAAAGTAAATTGAGTAGTATAACAAAAATATATATGGCATGTCACTCTTAAAATACTATAATTTTATAATAACACTTTGTGAATTTACATTATTCATAAAATTATTTAATTTAAAATATTTTTCTTTATCCAAAAATATTTAAAAAAATAAAGTAAGGTAAGAAAAATAAAAAAAAATGTGGAGGAACACATTTTTTTGAGTAAAGACACATGTTTTATTTATAATTAAGACTCATAGTCATGTAACTCTTATTTGTAAATTAATAATAAAAATAAATTATATAATTATTATAAAATAATGTGTTCTTAAATAAGATAATTAATTTACAACAATTAATTTAATCAAGTTTTTAATAAGATAATAAATTCAATTTATAAAGTATATTATTTTATTTTTTATTAAAATATTTAAGTTTTTACACAAGTTTCCCCAAATAGAGGGCAGCTTGCTTGGTGTTAAACATACCTGCTTTCCTCTACATTCATGAGCGCCATGAACATTAAAACTCTTCCATTTCATAACTTGCAATCAAAACTCTCCTTCTCTTGTTCAACGCGTTTCTCTTTTTCTTAGATCTTTGATTGAGTTTATAGTGTTTAGCAAAAAAATAAAGGGAATCAAGTCAATTGATCACTGACGGGTAGCCCCAGTAACGCGAAAAATCAAGGGGTTGGCTGGGAAATAAGAATTTAAAGGTCGAATTGAGAAAAATCCTAGGGTTTTTATTTTTTATTTTTTTTGAAGTTTGAGAAGAGTTGATTCTAGCTTTACTTAGCAGAGAGTAAGAGAAGGGAGTTTAGTTGTCGGACAGGATAGTGGTCAGAAGATCTATAATTTCAACTTGAGAAAAGAGTAAAGGAGTGGAGTAACTAAAGAAGAAGATGAAGAACACTGATGTAATCAAATTTCATCAAAGCAAAATGTAGCATCTTTTCTATTCCAGATGCTTTTCTCTATGTCTTTGTTGGTTGTGAAGGATAAATAAGATCCAGACTTATAATTTTATTTTTTTATTCTATTCTTTATTTTGTGTCTTAGAATGCTTGCCGGTCGAAAAATAGAGTTATAGAGATGAATTTTAAGCTATATATATGGAGATTTGGATCTTAGGATGATCAATGGCAGTTCATAGTTTGGTTTGGATCAAAATATTGCCTTTTTTTATCTTCATATAATTGGCTTGGTTTCAAGAGAACGAAAAATCGTGAATGAATAACACTAATTAAAATTTTTTTATTGTTTTGTTGTTAATTTAATGACTTTTTTAATTTCATTTTTCATTTTTCATTTTTTTTTTGTGAAGATTGATAAGTTAGTTTAACAGGGTTTTTAATTTGGGGCAAATTTTGATCTAGATTAGCGATGTGTGAATTTAAAGTGTAGGTTATTTAAGAAGTAGAATTATTATTTTGCTTTTCTTGTATTTTGAAATGAGTCCTATAGTTGCAGAGAACTAGGGGATGTTTCGAAACTCGGATCTTGACTTCGGTTATCCTGCAAAGCCCTGAGGTTGGTTCTCGGGGTAACCACTCTGATACCTAAGTTAGCAATAATCAGATCTACCAGCTATGGAGCAAGAGTAAGAGTTAAGTTTGAGGTCATTTTCAAGTACCTTTCTGAGGTGGACCCTTGGGGGTATTTATAGGCCTTCAAGGGGGTGTCCACGTGTTGATCCTTTTGAGAAACCAGGGCAATGCGTGTCAACGATGGCGAATATCTCTCATGAGGAATTTGTATGTGTATGGAGCTACTGTGGAGCTAGAGTAGAGGGGACAAGCTCGAATTCGACCGAGCTCATCGCTCTTCAATCAAGTCAAGGTAACTAGATTGATGGAAACAGTTCCGGATGTCCGAGGTTATGTACCTCAGATTGCTATGAGGTATGTGACCTCTAACTACCCACATACCTCTGATACCTCATGACCTCTGACTACCAGCATACCTTTGATACCTCATGACCTCTAACTACCACCATATATCCCATGACCTCTAACTACCAGCATACCTTTGATACCTCATGACCTCTGGCTACCACCACTACACTATTCCCCCCCACAAAGTCATTCACTTGTGAATGATACGGGAGTTTGTGTTGGGGTCAAATCGAGGGGAGGACATCAGGGCATGGGGTTAAGTGCTGAAAAGCGGAGGTTAAAATACAAACATAATTCGAAGTCATGTAACATACGGACGAGGCCGAAGTGGGAATGGAGTGACACAAGGTCATGGTGTATGGTTGGAACCAAATAGAAAGTAGCATGACACGTGGTCATGGAGTACGGCTAGAGCCAAAATAAAAAGTAGCATGACACATGGTCATGGGGTACTGCCGAAACCGAAGTAAAAAGTAGGATGACACGTGGTCGTGGGGTATGGCGGAGTCGAAGTAAAAAGTAACATGACATGTGATCATGGGGTTCGGCCAGAGCCGAAGTGAAAGTAGCATGAGTGAACATTTTTCAAGAAATAACTAACGTGTAATCGATTTGAAGGAGCCTAAAGTGAGAACGAAAATAAACTAAAATAGAATATAATGAAATAATTTAATCGGGGGTGACAACTGTCCTCACGTGCCATACTGTAACAAATGTCGTCAAGAATAACTGCTTAATTCAAAAAGACGCGATCGTGACCGTTGAACGTCAGCATTCGTGACCATTAAAACGGGGGGAAGGCTAAATATAAATAGCCGGCCTTGAGTTATTCATAATTTTACCTTGCTGAATTTGTAGTGGAACCCTGTTGAAATCGCAAGAGAGCACTTTGTCATTCAAGCTGACTGTTGCAAAGATCGTAATAGTTGTCAGAGCATTTGCACAAGTGTTTTACTTTGTCTTTCAAGAAACCAGGTAACTCTGAGCTTTACCTCTAACTTAAGTAATTTGTTTTATTTTAGAAAAAAAGTATAGTCAGGGAAGTTAGATGTTCAATAGGAAGGGGGTTGTAAAGGATAGAAACTGTAGGTGATTCTGATTACTGTTCATCACATACTCCTTGTAGTGAAGATTGTGATACCAAAGATGTCTTCCGAAGAAACGTTAAGTGTTGGAGGGGAAAAGGAGGTGAGAAGCTTGAGTTCGAGCTCGAGCTTGAGTTCAAGCTCTAGTGGAGGAAGTGGGAGTGGGACCTCTGTTAGTGGGGGAAGTGACAGCTAGGCAAGGTGTTATGACGAGAGGGAGGAGGTGGTGGGGGAGGTTATAGGATATAAGTCGTACTGGAGGAGTAGGGGGGAGCTGGGGCACTTAGTGGAGAATTACAACATCCCTGCTCATGTGCTGGTGAGGCCAGCCGGAAGTGAGGAACAGGCATGTTTGGCTCCACTGGATCATTGGATGCTGCTATACGAGCACTACCTAGTGAGTAGTGGCTAGGCTCTGATTTCCCATTTCGGAGTTGCTGGTAGCGTTACTGAAGGAGAATGGGTTGGGGTTGACGCAACTCGTCCCAAACGGAGTTAAGTTGGTGGTGGGGTTTTTGGTCTATTGCTAGCTTTGGGGTGTATTTATCCCTACAGTAGATTTATTTAAATATTTTTTTTATAATTAAGGGGGGGTAGTGGGAAGGAGAGAAGGTGATTCTATTTCACGCCTTGGGTAGTTGGAGGTAAGAGTAGGAATCTATTTACAGTAGGTATTTCCTCCATTAAGGGGTGGAAAGAAAAGTTTTTCTTCGTTGATGACACGGAGTAGGGGAGGAGAGATGGAGAAGTGGAGAAGCTCAGTAGGTGGAAGGGGAAGAAAAAGAATCCTAATCAATACCGGCTAAGGGAGGTGGAGAAGGATGAGGTGAAGAGGTTGGAGAGGGGTGGGGGGAGCTGGCAAACATAATGTACCTTACAAGTCCAGAGGTGGTGGAGTCGTCTGGAATCTATGGGAGGAGCTCGTAGAGCAGAGGTTTGTGTTAACTAAAATGACATTCCATTTCAGAATAAGAGTCTGATTGCAACTTTTAACTCTATTTTGTTTTGCAGAGGAAATGAATCGCTTCAAAGCTGGAGGCAAGGCTATACGACTTCCGGAGATGAGGTCAAAGGCATCAGCCTTGGGTGCCATAGAGGAACAAGTTGGGGGTGGGACTTCAACACCTCACCCAAGTGGTGAAGCTCGAGTAGAAGTTGGGCCCAGCTTGGAGCCAAGGAAGGGATCCACCAAGGAAAAAGTTGCAGCTCGAAAGAGGCAAAGAGTGGAGGAGGTGCAACCACTGCGAATCAAGGCCCCAACTGAGTTCGTACCTCGGCCTCCCCCCATGCAGATTGATCCATCGCTACGGGAGGTAGAAGTTGTGGCGCCTAGAGGGGGAAGAGCTCCGCTCCCTACCCCAAGCAAGTCTCCAACTTCTGCGAGTTTGGGAGAACGACTGCAAAATGTTTCATCAGCTCCCACTTCCCTAAGGTGGATCTGCAAAGGGCCAGGGATGAGGTGGCCACAAATGGAGGATCAGGGCTAGTTCGGCAAGCCCTAGAGGTAAGCTTTGCTCTTCATTGACTTCAACTCGTTCCTTTTTCTTTTCTTTTCTTTTTTTTTGACTTCTGCCTTTTTTGTAGACTACCAACTTGGTAAATGCAATGGCGGTTGAGTTCTTCGATTGCCTCAAAGAGTGAATTGCTTTGGTTGGGAAGAACAAGGAGCTCGGCTATCAAAAAGAAGCAGCTGAGAAGAACTTCAGTGAACTGACCTCAAAGTTGGAGAAGGTTAGAGAGGAGTTGGCCACTTCCAAGAGGGTTGCTGAGTTAGAAGAGCAGAAGAGGAAGAAGTGTGAGGAGGCACTTACGAGGAGGGATAACGAGCTGGCTAAGGTTAAGAAGGCGGCCAAGCTGGCGATCCATAACTTGGTAGAGCAGCACGTTTCGGACTTCATCAAGTCTCCTATATTTGCCGAGGTGGTGCACCTCTACCATTTGCCGACTTTGATATGAACCCGTGTAGAGCTCCTACCCTCCCAACTAAGTGCTGCATATCTTTAATTGACTTCAGTGGCTTCATCTCCTCTATAACTTGATCTTCTCAAGATTGACCTCTATCCCTCTCCTGGAGACCATGAATCCCAAGAATTTGCCTGATTCAACGCCAAATACACACTTGGCTGGATTCAACCTTATGCTTTGTTTCCTTAGGTTATTAAATGTTTCTACCAGGTCGATTAGGTGATCCTCTACCTTGAGACTCTTAACTACTATGTCATCGACGTAGACTTCGAGGTTCCTGCCGATCTTAGCTCAGGATACAATCGTCACCATCTTCTGATATGTAGCCTTAGCATTTTTGAACCCAAACGGCATCATTACATAGCAATAGATCTCGTCACCTATGTAGAAAGAGGTCTTCACCTCGTCCTCAAGTGCCATGTGGACTTGATGATATCTTGAGTTAACATCTAAAAGACTAAGCCTTTCATTTCCGAATGCAACTTCCACCAGTTTATCTATACTTGGCAAAGGATGACAGTCCTTTGGGCAAACCTCATTCAAATTTGTGTAATCAATGCACATTCTCCATTTGCCATTCAACTTATTAACTAGGATAAAATTAGCAATCCATTCAAAGTAGTCTACCTTTCTTACAAACCCTGCTTGCAAAAGTTTATGCGCTTCTACCCTGATTGCTTTAGTCTCTCTCCTCGAAATAGGCATCTCTTCTGTGCCACGGGCTTCTTCAAAAGATGAGTGCTTAATTTATGTACTGCAACCAAGGTGAGTATTCCAGGCATATCAGCTAAAGTCCATGCAAACACATCTTTGTTCGACTTCAAAAAGCTAATGAGCTCTTCTCTTTCTTTCGAGCTCAGCTTGGTCTCAATCTGCATCTTCTTAATCGGATCGTTGTCGTCGAGCTGTACCTCTTCCACTTCTTCTGCTGGGGTGGCTCTGGCTTCATCCTCAAATATGTTATTAGGCAGTTCTATACCCATTACCTGCTGTGTAGCTGGGATTTCAGGCTAAGCCGACTCTAAGGGTGTTACCTACTTATCCCTCCAAGTTCAGGAGATAGAAGTCATGTAGCAGTGTTGGGCTACCTCTTGGTTGTCTCTCAAAGTTTCTACTCCCATGGGGGTAGGGAATTTCATGCAAAGGTCGAACTGTGAGACAACAGCTTGTATCTCAGTCAGAATTGGTCTTCCGATGATGATGTTAAAAGATGACACCATCTTCACTACCAAGAATCAAATTGAGGTAGTGACATACGTCTGACCTGAGCCGAATGCTACATTGAGTGTGAGAACTCCTTCCACAAGCACTGGCTGATTATTGAATCCGTAGATGGGGCCATCGTACTTCTTAGGAGTGTAGGGTCAAGGCCAAGGCTCTCGAAGCAGTGATAATACATGATGTCCGGAGCACTTCTTATGTCGACAAGGACGTGTTAAACTTCGCATTTATTGACATGACCGAGGTGACAAGTGGATAATTGTGTGGCATGACAATACCATCAAAATTAGCTGAACTGAAGGTTATGGGTTGGTTCTTCCATTTTGTGTCATCAAATTTCTTCTTCTAAGCTCGATTCTGGTGTTTCACCTCTCTCACATACAACTTCTGCTGTTTTGACCTCATCCCTCCCGTTTCCAGTCCACCGATTATCATGTGAATGATGCGTGAAGGTGGAGGGAAAGGGGGTGGTGGTTGCTGATAGCCAACTCCAATTTTATTGCTTGCATCCCAAGATCCTTGAAGTCGGCCTTGCTCTCGGATGAACTTGAGCTGGTCCTTGTTGGAGATGTAGTCATTCAGCATCCTTTTTCGGGCTAAACCCTCAAGTTTAGACTTCAAACTATGACATTCCTTCGTGGTGTGTCCGTGATCCTAGTGGAAGTCACAATATTTGCTATTATCTCTAGAGATAGGTGAACTCCACATGGGTGGGGGCCTTCTAAGCTCCATTTTGTTCTTGATTTGCATCAAAATCTATGACCTCGGTAGTGTAAATGGAGTCCAGGTAATTTGCTTTATCATAGGTTGGGGGTTATTCAAGGTGGGTCTATCAGCTTTGGTTGGGAATGGACCTCGGTTTTGTGTAGCTTTAAATCTCTTCTTGTTCTGCCCTTCGTCTCTCCATATTGGAGGTCTGACCTCTTTGTTTGGTGATGGCTTGCCGGATAAGGCATGTTCCTCGGCTTGAATAAACTTCCAAGATCTTTCATTAGCTTCATCAAACGTGATGGGAGGGTGCTTTATCAGGCTATCTCGGAACCTCTCGTGCTTAAAACCCTGGATTATGGCGACTAATCCCACCTGATTAAATAAGTCGATCCCCAGTATTGCATCATTGAACCTATTCATGTAGTTCTTCAAAGATTCACCTTCTCTCTGGGCCACCCGCATAAGCTCAGAGGTTGTTTTTCTGATTAGCCGATGACTTGAGAACTTCGTTGCAAAGGATGCCGCCAGCTCGGCATACGAACTGATCAACTTCGACTGCAAACTGTAATACCAAGTCTGAGCATTTCCACGTAGTGTAGAGGGGAATATTTTGCACATCAAGGCATCTGAGGCATTTTGAGCTTGCATAATGGAGCAAAATGGGTGCAAGTGGTCATCAGGGTCCTTAGTGCCATCATATGTCTTGAACTGGGGCATTTTGAATCCAGATGGGTATGGTTCTTGGATGATGTTGATATTAAGGACGGTCAGGATTGGGTAGAACTAGGCTAAGCAGGAGGTTGGGGATTTCGATTCTCGACCACCATTCTTTCTAGATTATCTAGCCTCTTGGAAACATCTAAGACAACTGGTTGGGGTGGTTGTGGAGGTGGAGGTGCCATGTGGGAGTGGCCTTAGGATTCACTTTAGGGTGGGACAGTAGTTCGGGCTGGTGAATTGACATTTCGTTGAGGCTGGTGATTGAGTGCTTGGTTAGTTGGATTTAATAGGGTGATGAAGGGGTCACTTGAGTTGTCTCTAGCTAACAACTGTGCAAGCACGAGCTGAAACATGCTGAACTATTGTTGCATAGTGTTGAGTTGGGTGGTTATGGGATCATTTGGGATCTCTACTGAGTACAGGTTATTCTCCCCAGTTCCTTCCACATGCTGATGTTGGGCTATGAGAGGTGGCACGGTGTGCGACATAGAATTTCCACTGGGGAATTGACCCCTTCCTTGACCCTGTTGAGGGCTTTTGTGTTGCGTCAAACGTGTGTTAACCATCGTAGTAGCTACTAGTCAAGGCTTTTAGCTCAGATTCACATAGACGTCGCCAATATAGTTACAGAGAACTAGGGGATGTTCTGAAACTCAGATCTTCACTTCAGTTATCCTACAAAGCCTCGAGGTTGGTCCTCGGGGTAGACACTCTGATGCCTAAGTTAGCAATAATTATAGCTACCAATTATGGAGCAAGAGTAAGAGCTAAGTTTGAGGTCAATTTCAAGTACCTTTCTAAGGTGAACCCTAGGGGGTATTTATAGGCCTTCAAGGGGGTGTCCACGCGTTGATCCTTCCAAAAAACCAGGGCAATGCGTGTCAACCATCGCAGATATCTCTTCAATCAAGTCAAGGTAACTAGATTGCTAGGAATTTGTATGCGTATGGAGCTACTGTGGAGCTGGAGCAGAGGGGATGAGCTCGAATTTGACCGAGCTCGTTGCTCTTCAATCAAGTCAAGGTAACTAGATTGCTGGGAACAGTTTCGGCTATCCGAGGTTATGTACCTCGGACTGCTATGAGGTACGTGACCTCTAACTACCCACATACCTCTGCTACCTCATGACCTCTGACTACCACCACATATCTCATGACCTCTGACTACCAGCATACCTCTGGTACCTCATGACCTTTGACTACCACCACATAGCTCATGACCTCTGACTGCCATCATACCTCTGATACCTCATGACCTCTGACTACCAGCATACCTCTGATACTATAATGCCTGCTTATTGTTTGATGAAATGCCTCAATGAATTGTGTTCCTTTAGTTGAACCTAAGTTTGGGAGGACATAAGTTATATTCTTTTTCCTTTAAAATGGGATTAGAATAAGATTGCATGTATCTAGATCCTATAAAGAAAATAAGAAGCCATCTTACAATTGAATACACTTGAGGGACAACTTTGGTACTTAAATACTCATATCTGAAGACAAGGGTACTTTTTTCCCTGGGGTTCTTTGGTTAGATTTGATAAATGAATTGAAAAAAAAGGAAAAGAAGGTTTCCTTTCCTTCCCTTTCCTCCCAAAGCAAACCTTTTAAAAAAAGGCCCAACGAGAAAAAAACCTGACTTAGCTCTGAAAGATTATTTTTCCTTTTATCTTTTATTTTTGTGGTAACATTCTTCTCTTGATATTTTCTATAGTCCCTTTGAAGTTGAGGTGATATATATTAGCAATGGAGAAAAAAGATGATGAATTGAAGAAGACTCAAGTAGTGGAAGCCCGAGCAAGAAACATTAGTCACAATGTTTGCTGTACAGAGTGTGGAAGTCAATCCATCGAAGATTCACAGGCAGATATTGCAATTCACCTCAGAAAGGTAACTTTTTCTTTCACATCCAAGTGATTACTAATCACTAGTGCAACCAGATTGTTTCTTTCACCATGGCTAACAGTTTACTGGCTGATAAAATTTACAACTTCAACCATTGCCAAACCACCTAATTCTTTGATTATATGTCAGGAAACTTCTGGGGCTTGTTGTGCAATAAAGTAGAATTGGTTCATCTCCATTAAGCAAGTTTTGGTGGTAGAGTGGAAGTAGGCTTTAGGCCAATTTCCAGACTGGCCCACCACCTATTTGGCTTTACTTGTAGACAATATTGCTGTTCTCTGACCCCATCTTTTGGTATACAATAAAAGTTATGGTGCTGTCTACCTTTTCAAAGTTATTATCAACTAAAACTATATATATTCTTCCATGTTAATTCATTGTGGAGATGGAATTTGGGTTGTGAATTGACTATTTTTACTTCTCTCTCCTAGAGATATTTATTTTTCTCAAAATTTACTTGTATTTCTGAACTCTTTCTAGATCATTTAAATTTCTTGATGCTTCCCTTGTTAATCTTATGGCAACTTAGCAAATGAGAAATTTCTGATCCTAATGTTATTGTTGCAGTTGATTTGTGATGAAATTCAAGCTGGAAAGACTGACAAAGAGATTTATAAAAAGCTTGAAGAGGATTTTGGGGAGACGGTACTTTATGCCCCAAAGTTTGATATGCAAACAGCAGCTTTGTGGCTATCACCGGTCAGTTAAAAATATTTAACAGCACTAACACTTGCTAGTAGTGAGTCTTTCTATACATACTTAAAATTGAGTTTTCTAGACAGTTTCTAATTGCAAGTGCTGCTAGACCTAGCAATTTTTTACCCAACCTGCTAACCCATCCGTTACCCGCCCGTTTAAAACAAGTTAGGGTCATATATTTACGACCTGCAACCCGTTAATGACACGTTAAGAAAACCCGACGGGTCAAGGGTCAATAACGGGTTGATCCACCGAGTTAATGGGTTTGACCCGTTTGCCCATCTAAAAATTAAAAAAATTTAATTTATTATTTATTTATTTTGTTTTTCAATTCCCAATCTCACCTAAACCTCTAATAATTGAGTAATTTTCTCTAATTAGCTAATTGATTCTCTTAACTCATCATCTTCTAGAAGTAAAAATAATTCCACTCTACTTATGACTCACCTCCCGACCTTTCCTATTCTTGCTTGCCGTAATATTCTCTAAGACTCTAACTCTTTAAAGTTCAAACTCTTCTCATATTCTTCAACCTCCATAGTCCAGACATCCTTCAACGTTCAAGCTTCGACTCCACCTTTTCTCTTTAGTCTTTAACATTATCCCAAACTTAGATCTTAGTCTCACCAAGTCACCATCGAATCCACTTAGCCCTTTCTTTCTTTCTCCTTTGAGTTTGACAAGTGCTCTCTTTGTCACCAACTTTTCTCTCTAAAGCCTTCAAGTAAGTTATTTACTTATTTATGTTTTTTAGTTTTCTCTCCATTCCAAGTAAAAATTCTACTTGATCTTGTCCTTTGCTTAGATGCATTCAATTGATTGATTCTTTGAAAGCAACGACCAGA